GATCATCTAGTTGTAAAAATAGTCCATACAATAATAAAAGTACTTGACCGAAGGGGTCACCTTAACACCAAAAAAAATAAATAAATAAATAGTAATTGGACAGTTCTAACCTAATTTGTCACTTAATAGTAATATAAATATTGTATGTATATACAAATAGTATTGAAAATTAGAAAGTTTAAATAAATAACCTAGAGGTGGGTCTCAGATATGGCATCTAGTGAGTAACTTATGAGTAGAACCTTTAATTAGATAATGACTAAAATTATACATATAGCTAGTTGTATTTTCATTGATAAACTACTGTATATATATAATATAATCATATATTACTTATAATAAAGATATATAGGCAAGATTGCTGCTTAGTAAAAAAAAATAATAATATAGATGATAACCTAACACAAATGAACTTGAAGAACTTTGTCATTAGTTAGAGTTTGTTTTAATTTTTTTCTGATCAATATATGATTTGCAATTTCTGACCTGAATTTTTATATGATATTTAATATCAGCTAAATTCAGCACTGATAATAATAATTATATCAATAATAGCTAAAACCTGTTTTTTCAAGGTCTTTGATCTATTCTTCATATTTATTTACTTAAAAATAATCAACTTTTTTTCTTTTTCTAAAGATTCTTCTATATTATTATTAACTATTTTCTATGTTTAACTAATACTATCTGTTATTTAGAATATAGTTAAACATGTTATCAAACTCATTATCACTTATATCCATATTGAAATCTTTGTTAATATCAAAAATATTATCAATATTAAGCAAAATTAACACATTAAATAAGTATATAAATATAAAATACTTATATTTATTTTAATAATTTTATATGATACAATAGATATTATAATATTTGATAAAATTTTATAAGATTTTATTTATTAAAAAGAAAACTTTCAGGACATTAAAATTTACAAAGAGTTTTTAATTTAAAAAAAATTGCTAAATGTTAATATTGAAGATAAAAAATATAAAAAAATTATTATTATTGCAAAATAAATTAATTATAAAAATAAATTAAATATAACAAATAAATTAAATATACCAAATAAATTAAATATGAAAAATAAATTAATTATGAAAAATAAATTAAGAGAATATTTTTATAGCACTATAGTGCTATAGCACTAGGCATTATAGCCAATCAAAATTTAAGATCAGATATAATATATAGATCAGCTTTGTGTAACAAAAACAAATAATTTTTTAAAAAATCAATTATATCTCAAAATTTTGTCTATAAAACCACCTTTTAAGCTTTAACAAAAAAAATTCCTTGTACAATTTTATTTAATTTTAGTTTAATCTCAACAACAAGATCCCACTTTTACCTAATATTAAAAACAAACAGATTTTTATTTTAAAAAATCAATTTATATATATGATCTGATAATTACATATGACATAGTGCCATGACACTATAGTACCACAAAAGTATTTCCAAAATTAATTTCGAAAAATAAATAAATTACAAAAAATAAATTAATTATGAAAAATAAATTAATTACGAAAATAAATTAATTACAAAAAATAAATTAATTACAAAAAATAAATTAATTGCAAAAAATAAATTAATTGCGAAAATAAATTAATTCGAACAAATAATATAAAATGCATCTATGGTGTTTATGGTGTTAATAAGTTTTTGGCTAAAATTTAGGGTTAGGGTGCAACTTTAGAGTAAGATAGGGTTAGATATAAAGGTCCAAATTTTAGTTAGCATAAGGTTTTTGGGGGTTCTGAACATTTTTACTTAGTACCCTGAGATGTGTTAGCTAGTACGTTTTTGAGATATAGCCAATTATGTTGCTCAACACCATAGGTGCATTTTAGTAGTGTTGAATTAGAAAATTAATTTTCAAATATAAATTAATTCCGAAAATAATTTAATAGCGAAAATAAAATTAATTGAGAATAAATTTTTACGAAAATAAATTAAATTTGCAAAGCAATCATTCGAAGTGGTAGTGCGGCGCGTAATGATGACTGCATTAGCCACTTAGTGATGTATTTCATCCAATGAGAAGGATCAACCAATAGGACATTAGTAAACCCGCAGTAGAATACAAACGGAGCCATGTAATTTAAGCCCAAGCTTAATATCATTAGCTAATCACTAAGCTATTGCGTGTAATAAAATTTTATAATAGTATTTTGTACTCCTCATTGTTTATAATCGTATAAAATAAATTGTTTGATTAGTGAGTTTTGTACCTTTTTACTTAGATTATTCTACTCAATAAACATTGAAACTTCATTAAAATTAAAAATAATATTTGAGGTTTTTGTTAGTTAAAATATGTGTATATATATTATCAAGTTTATTTGAATAAAAATTTTCATATTCGATTAAATTTGAATAAAAAAATTATTTATATCTTTTTTAGAAATTGCTTTTTCATGTTTGCAGTAGTGAAAAATCACAAAATTATTAATATTTCAGCGGCATAAAATCGTAAAATTAATATATTACCAATGCGCAAAATTGTAAAATTATTTATTTGCATAACAAAAATTACAAAAAATCTTTATATAGATCATTTTACATTTTGATAATTCACTAATACTAAAATAAAATACCAACATGATCACCAATATTTAATTACTTATTCATTGCTAAATTCTTTGACCTATTGAATATATTAAAAACAAAACAACATAATTACTAATATTCAATTATATATTCATTACTAAATTCTTTGATCTACTGAATATATTAAAAACAGGATAAACAAGAAGATAATATTCAGGTTTGCATTTAATACATTTGTAATTAATGTTGCAAAATAGTTAAAAATAGGTCTTACAAATATTATTAACGGCTGCAAATGAAGTTACCGCTGCAAGTGGAACCTACAGGGCAGCAGCCACCATCTTGGCAACAAATGTAGTTCTGACGACAGCAAGTAGTAGCATCACACATTACCGAAGTAGAAGTACAACTAGCACTACACAAATCGTTATCAAGGCATGTTTCGCCCACAGGGCAACATCCAGGACCATTTGGACATTTATAAGAATTGGGTTGGCAAGATTGCCTTGGTTTTAAAGATGAATATGAAGAACCTGATGTCAATAATCTTCTTTCGTATGATTGAGCCGAAGTTAAAGTATTGAAGATTGCAATAGCAAAAATTATTGATAAAATAAGAGATTTAAGTGATTTTATTCTCATTTTGAAATGTTAGTGATAACTCAGAACGTTTCTGAAGAAACCGATCCTATTTATAATTGAATATGGTATCATTACAGGAATGTTTAATGTGGCTTAATTTAGAACTTTCGTTTAAACTTTAATTTTGGCGTTTTGTATGCGTAGTACACTATCAATGGCCATTTAGAAATTCTAATCTGATGCAAAGAATGAAATGAACGAAAATGAATGAAAATGAATTTATAAACAGACTATTGTGTACTAACAATCACAGGTCGAAATAAGGCATATTATGGATTTATCATAGTTTTTAGTCCCGATATGACACTGGTTAATGACTTAAATCGAGCTATAGTAAAATATCAAAAATCCGATAGTTCTTGGAAAGAGCTATCAAATTATCGATATCTCTTTCAGCTCTGATATGAACCTGAAAACGTCATGGATCAGCGCCATATCGGGACTAAAAACTACGATATTTGCATAATATGCCTTATTTTGACTTGTGAATATTATTGGTATTACAAACAACTAAGGATGGTCAAAAAGAAATTTCAACATTTTAAAGCATGTAATATTAATGATCTGGATATACAAATGTTTAAATTTAATGTACAGTATTAAAATTATAACCATTCTCACTTTAAAACGATTAAAAATGTTTCTATTATCTTGCTTATAAGCCTAAGTTCATATAAACGTTCTCCAAGTTATACAATTAATGTCTCTAAGCAAACTTTACTTTGTATACTTTTCAAAAATAATATTGACTTTGGCTTGATTTGTATTCAGTTTCACTAACGAAAATATTTTAAAAACGGAAACACAGGTACTATTAGATCCGAAACTTAAAATTCAATGACGTATAAAAAATAAGCATTTTGTTTAACAAGAAATAAATAGAAGATTATCGAACCCAGAAATACAGCGAACATAAATGCACAAAATCTGGACTATTACTTCTCAATAATATTCCCTGATATTAAAAACTCTGTAAAGGCGTAAAGTCAAAAATGAGATCACATAAAAAGAAATTTCATAGTCCGACAGAGTTTCGATTATTTTGTACTGCTGCTATCTTTACGCTTGTAATTCCTTGTAATACCTGATAATTTTTATCATTCTTTGCGACAATAACTTGCTTATGTGAAGTTCGAGACTTACACTTCAAAAATATATTGGTTATTTCGTTTTAAATTCTAAAAACTTCATGTAATGACTTCATATAAGATACTATTAGCGTCAATATGTTTTGAACCATGAAAAATTTTTTGTCTATTGCAGAGTTCTTTTTTCAATAGCAATAAAATAGAAACTCCGACGTGCTAAGTTTCATAACTTTAGATTTAAATATAGTTAGACGAAATGTTGTCCAATAATAAATAGAATTATTTTTCACAAAAAAATCCTTCATTCATTCCATTTCTTGTTACAGACGATACACAAATAAGGTAGCTGTGCACTAAACAGGAGCGGAAGATATGATCTCAAATAAAAAACAAGTATGTAGAATACTAATTATTTTAATTATTATATACCAAAATTACAGTATAAGATATATTATGCCAATATAATAATTAATAAACGAGAAATGCATTTAATATTATCAGTTTTCAAAGTAATCAATTTTTTTAAACATCAATAGATTGCATTATTTGCAAGATTGTTTTGATAATTATACTAGCAAATAGAAACAATTGCTTTTTTATAGTGTGAACAACTAGTGATATGCGCTTTTAAAATGTATTAGATTGTAACTGTTATTACAGTGACCTGATTGATTTAGGCATTACAATCTGGCATAACTTCATATCTCAAACACTTGCTATCTACTTATTTGCATTAGATAATGTTTTAATAAATATCGAAAAGCTTTGGTCATGTGATTGGAAGAATTTCGGACAGCTGGAAATAAATTCAATTAAAGGCTTTAAGTCCGCAGAATACATTGAATTGGTTATTTTAAGTAAATAATGGTTTTGAATAATTTGAACTGAAACGATGATATGCTTCCGAAAGATTAGCAAATGGAATTGCGCAGGTATCATTGTAACAGTAGAGCGAGCGAGAATAAGCATTAGTCAGTGGTTTCCCTCCTGCTCGAAGCAGTCGACTGTTAAATAGGAAAATGGAAGAATCAAGAGACTACAACGTGGGGTGTGAAGAGATGGGTCGAGAAATGCTAACTATATAAATTGGATATTCGACGACCCTTTTATATAAGTTACTCGATGGCTTGGGATTATGTAGCATGTTCGATTCTCGGCGCAGGGGTTGTATAAATGCTCTCTATCTTTTCGATCTGTTGACCCTTGTCAACATGCATTATATTTCAGAAACCATAAATTGTCTGTTTGCCTTTCATAACCCCATAAAAACAAATAATATTTAGATGATAAGCAACTATTCATGGTCGCTTAAGATTTTATTATATGAATATTATAGAAGAACGAATTCAATTTTTGATATAACAAATATCTTTTCATAAAATCTTAATGATTCTTTTTCATTTAATTAAGCTTGTAATGCAACATTAATTCCAATCAGGTCTCTGAAAACGGACAGATATCAAGTCCTATGTAGTCCAGTGTGCCAATCAGATTTAAGGACAAGCATACCTTCAATCATCAATGCATCTTTTTAAAATTTTTCATAGCATTTCTTAATATTTTGTTGTAATATATGTTATGGTATCACAGCATTACGGCAATACTATATTATGACATTACAGTTCATTGCTCTTATGGAAAATACTGTATAGTTTCGAAAATAAGCACCTTTTTTGTTGTTAAATCTGTTTTTGGCGCTTACTCCAGCGGTGGTAGAATCATCAAAGTTAAACCAATAGAACTTTCACAACTGCTCTTCAATTGCAGGCGACATTTTGTAAACAAATGTCACCCGAACTTTGAGGAGCAATTGCAAAAGTTTTACTAAACCAATTACTGAATTATGATGGTTTACAACTAATAGAATCGTATTAACCTCGAGAATAATTTATTTAGAAGCCAAAAATAGGCTTAGTAAAAATGAATCCTATACAATTATACTTAGGGGCTTATTTTTGGATATTATACAAAATTTAGTGGTGTTTAATTCCTCCCGTAATATTCAACATTTTTAATTTTCTAAAAGTAAAATGTTTAATAAAAAATATTTTTATATGGTAATAATGTTAAAACTTTATGTTGCTAATCAATTGCATATGAGTGTGGACAAGAAAAAATGTACATTTAAAAATAGGTTATTATGAAATTCATAATCATCTATTTTTAGAATGTATATCGTAACTTACCAGGATTCTACTATCATACGATTTACAAACATACTGCAGGCCACATAGTAAATTGTCGGCCTGGTTTTTTATAAAAAATTTAACTCGATAGCTTTTGAACAAATAAACATCAAAAAATTTGTCTAAATTAGTGGTCATAACTATATGACCTGCATTATGTGTGAAACATAAGTTTTATGATGCAAGAAATCTGAAAACCACAATTACACCTTAAAGAGAAAGAATATAAACACTGAAATTAAAATTTTCTAACTTCATTGAAGTCAATAACCAAATAAGTACGTACGTATCTGATTTTAAAGTGTAACATGTTACATTGCATATTACGCCATGCAGAAAATTTAATTTCTAGAATTAATGTAATTATAGTAAAGTAGCACATTAAAAGTAGCACATTAAAAGTAGCACATTAAAATCAAATATTTCTTAAATTATCGAGCATTTACAAACACTTTGTTAATTTTATAATTTAGGAAATATTAGATTTCAAGATTTCTTGTACTGTATGTTTATTTTTTGTTTCTAGATTTCTTGCATGTGTATATTTATATTTTTGATTCTAGAATTCTTGTACTATATGAATTTTTTTGAATCTAAATTAAAATGGAAATATAAGAAAGTAAATTACGCCATATGACGTCACACTAGCTGGGTTTAAAAAAAGATTTATCATTATCTTTATGCGTATAAATCAATAACCTAAAATAGATGATAAAAAAATTGAATTGTAAATAAAGCATTCGCTTCGTGTGACATCACGTACATCAAATTTTTTGCCGAAAAAAATTATTGATTTATTCCCCGGTTCTTATTTATACTTCCTTACTATTTTTTTCATGGTTATTGTCCGGATTCCAGATTCGGGCTGATCCGGGATTTTTAATTGACAATTTTTTATATCATAACATATACAAACTAGGCAATACTTTTTTTTAGCAATAATTTCAATAACTTTCAATTCATAAAAGCTATATTAGGCTCAAATATAGTATAGCTTACCCTATCCTAAAATTTAGGGTATGCACTCTAAAAATTGGGGTATGTACCCCAAAAAATAGGGTGTATACCCTAAAAGACCCTGTCTGGTCTAGGTTACACAAAAAGCACCCTAGACCTAAAAATAGAGGTCATGTGACATAAAATATATCTTAAAAAATGGGTATATACTCTAAAAAATGTGGTATGTACCCAAAAAATAGGTATATACCCTAAAAAATGAAGTATATTCCCTTAAAATTGTATAAAAAAAGGGTATATAATAGTATTATATATATATATGCGCATGGGTCCCTGTGATAATTCCGGCCAAAAATTGGTATAATGATGGTAAAAAAGGATAATCTATACTATATTTCAGCTGCTATATTATACAATGCTGTTATTAATATTAATATTAGAAGCTTGCATAATATTGTTCATCATATTTGCTAATGTGTGTCAATCAAGTTTAGTTTTAAAAAACCAGGTTATATCTTTAATTGCTTGTGAATTTCTTGTTAACTGTAAATAGAACTTGTTACATGTATCTGGTGGATATAAATTTATATAATTTTGAAAGTTTTGAATAGGCTTAAATTTATTATTAGACAAGTCTGGTGAAATATATAAATTTATATAATGACTAGAGAATTTTTTATATTTGTTTTGACCTTTAAGTTCACCTTGATTATTCTTCTTATAACCAATTATAAAAATTAAACTTTTATCTAATTAAAAATTAAACTTA